GGAGGCGGTCTGAGAGTCAGGCTGCAATGGCTCCTTTTTAATGTGGCCTTTATGGCATTCCCACCACAGTGTGGGATCCGAGCCAGGCGTTGGCGGCACGCCCAGGTGCGGCTTCGGCCGTGCCAGCCTCCAAATCTCTGTTGTGTTGGTTGAAATCCTGGTTATTGTTGTGTGGACCAGGGGGTGTGGTGGAACGCCAAGGTGAGGATCCGTCCGAGCCATCCACCTGCGGCCTCCCTCGTCTCCGGTCTTCTTGACTCTGTCTTGACACCGGACCCAGGCGGGGGAGGAGGAGAGAGTGTAGGTAGATGCAGCGCAAGTCTACCGGCACTATAAACCCCTGCGCAAGTCACCGTCCCTGCTCCCACCGCTGCTGCAGCTGTGGGGCACACGGTGGTCATCGTCGAAATCGACGGACGAACTGTCATACAACTACAGGTCCAACTCATGGACTTTGGCTAAATGGCACGAAAGCTTGCATTCGTGCCGCAGCAAGCAAAAATCCGCTGGTGGAGTAATTTCGTGAGCATCTCCCAGCATTTAATGCCCGACGCTTGCTGCTGAAAAGGCCTCAGTAACGCACTTTGTGGACGAAAATTGCTTTGGAGAGGTTTCAACTGATTGCGCAATGTGCGATATCCTTCGACGAAAACCGCAAAGTCAAGTGGCAAAAGCAAATAATTCCGTATTTAATTCACATACAGTCGGAAATCCGAAAGAGCAGGTGGCTCACAGGGCGCTCTGAGTAGCTGGGGTGGGTGAGAGACTGGACAGGTAGTGAACGGTTCGAGTTCTATATGACTTGCAGGCTCCGATGGGATTTCTGATGCTTGTCGTTGATTAGTAATCTATTCTTGAGCTGGTATCTGTAACAAAGCACACGTGCGCCGACAGCACCGAACAAGGAATAACAAAAATGAAATCTCTGCTTTGTAAGCGGGACGAACGACGAGGAATTATGGGCACGTTACGTTAGAAGGCCGTCAGTAGAAAATGGCATACGTATGCTTCGCCGTCTTTATTGGTCACAAGATAATGATCCACAAACAGATGCCACTTTTTTTTAAAAAATGCTTTTTTCGGAAATCAAGACCATAGACAGTGTTGGTATTGTCGTTGTGACCGACCACGATTACACTTTCTGTGAGTAATGACGGCATAGTCATTCGCGAAAAGAATCTATGGAAGCCCTCAAGAAAGTTTTTTGCTCCGGTAAAACTGCAGGACTTATTTTCCTGCGTTTTGCGGCCAGATTAGGTCTCAGCATAAAGGGTGGCCACCCGCACTAAGGAGACACGTAAACCCTCATGGAGCCTTCAAAATCGCCAAATAGCTGTTCACGAGGAGAGTTTCCTTTCACGTGTCTGGAAGCCTTTTGTAAATTCGGCGTTTTAAAGTCATAACTTGGGGCAGTTTTGCGCGTCCTTCTAGCGCGACTGTTCTCCCACAAATGTCGTCGCAATGTGTTCTGAGAAAAAGTTGCGTCAGTGCACACCTCACGCAAGTAGTATATGCAGGAGAGTACAAACAAGGGTAAGGGTCAAATACAACGGAAGGAGCATGTTCTGTAACCCGATTGGTGAACTTCTCATACTGTTGTGCTTACATAACTTGCTGACTAACTTCTCAAACTCCAATTTACTGCCGCTCATTCTGGGAATCTTATCCTGCTTTAGCCAAAACTCCGCCAACAGACATAACAGCTTGAAAGTACATAGTGAATTGCCCTTTCCGACTGGGTATCTTTACTCTATCTCTGAGTATGGCTTTCTATTCTAACACCCATATGTCGAGGTACCATTTGTCCAGGTGTGATAATGAGACGCAGGTAACAGATAAGTGTTTAAGTGAGAAGTTTCTGGGGCATGGATAGGTTTTGTAACCCCACCGGGTTCAGTATGCATAGGTAACGACTATCTTTGCTTTAGAATGTCTTGTTTTGTTTATTGATCCGTAGCTACAGGGAGCCCCCTTTGTGTGTTATCTAACACTTTGATATAACTGCTTTGTTTTGGATGTCGGTCGTATCTTTAACGCAGTATAACTTTCGTGGATGCGGGGTAGGCGTTTCGTGCATCACGGCGATTTAAGTTCACGGTTCGTGACCTTTCAATAGATTGATCACGAACTATATGACTTTTGGTGGCAAATTATGTGGCCGAATGTTCTCGCTCCCCCTCCTCGTAATCCATTTGTCTTACCTTGATCTCCTAGTTACCATGATGTAGTTGCATCGTCTTTCGTTGTCGATTTCGTAAACCGTAATTTACTTATTTCCAGAATGCCTTCACGAACATTAGTTCAAGAATCTCGGCGAATTTTGAGATACAGTGAGGCAACTCAGCCAAATGAGCTGTGACCCTTACTCGTTTATCGCTTATGGGAAACGGGCCATTATTTTAAACCGAAAAACTGTCACACACTAGCCTCTGAGAACTCTCATACGAAGACCTTTGCATTTCGCAGCCGCAAGCATGTACACGCGTTAGCTATCAGCGCAAGATATATTTTGCTGTGATGACTGGATCCACCTGTTTGTATAGGCAGGTGGATTGGGGTGCCTTCATTGTAAGAAGGCCGTTCAATTACACACTTAGATATGAAGCCTCGGTAGTAAAGGTGACTTTGGCCTAAACTACGGGAAGAGAGGGGGTTGGTGTTGGGGTTAGAAGGGCTAGGAGGGCTAGAAGGGGGGTCATGGATAGGGTTATGAGTGTTAGTGCTGGGGCCAGGACTACCAGAAATAGGGTTTGGGCCATGGTTAAAACTAGGACACAGAAATAGGAACCCCTTGGAATGTAGCGCCAGGCCGTCTTGACTACTGGGGAGTCCATATTCTCTGGCCGGACCCGTCGTTCACGGTGAACACTCATGAGGCGGCGCCTTTGGTGCCTTATTGTGCACGAAAATTCCTATTGTAAAATTCAAGGGGCAAATTGGCGAGCATACGTCTGCTTTCGATAAATTCTCATCAGGCCTGTACATTTATATAGCTATTGAGGCAAGGAATTAAAAGATACGGACAAGTAGATAATAGAGCTGTAGTTCGGGTTTGGGAAGGGGAGGGGGGAGGGGGAGAGTGGAACACCACAATTCCATTCAGCGCCAGAGAGAATGTGGGTCCCGGCGAAGGTAATTACATGTGGGTAGCTGGCTTGGTGGCTTTGAACCATGTCAACTGTGGGACCTGTATGAAGTTCTTCTGTGCGCATAGGACCGGTCCGCGTAGCCTGATTACAGCCGCCTCTGCCGTAGCCAACAAGCGCTGCCCAAATAGTTTTGGATAGCTTGATGGGACCTTGCAGATAACTCTGAAAGCCTCTGTGGCGTCTACACGGTGATCTGTGTCCCACTTGTGCGCGAGGATCAAGCTGTTGATGTTCTTTACTTGAACCTTTCCTAACCATAATGGAAGGTGTTCTTTTATTCTTTTGAATAAACGCCGGCTCGTGCGACCAATATATTCTGCCCAACAGGAGCAGGTGAAGGTGTCGATACTTACAAAGGTGGTCTGAGCTGGTAGTTTATCCTTGCCCTCTCCGTATAGGATGGGATTGGTGGAGAACTGTACACGGGTGTCAGCTGCCGGAAAGGTCTGTGATATAGTTTGAGGTAAACAAACCCCAACCACCTGTAATACGGGACAGGTGGTAATAAGGGTTTTGACAGGTAGGGCCGGGGAACGCACAGGCGACGAGGACAAGCAACTGTATGTAAAATAAAAGCTATTGGGAATGCGCGTTTGTACTTTGAGTTATTGAGAAATAGTTGCCCTAACCCAAACCCTAACCCCTAGCACTAACCCCAAATCCTAATCCCTAACCCCAAACCTACCGCTAGCCCCCGAACCCTCACCCTTAACCGCGACCCTAAACCCTAACCTTGAAACATCCAACTCGAAAGTTAGAAGGAGATGACAGGACGAAAGCCAAGATGGATCCCAGGTATGGGGCCAAAAAGGTAGACGCGGCAAGAAAGAAAAGAGGCCGCCAACAGAACACACACTGCAACGCACAGCGACACTATGCCAACGTAATCATACCGACTCAAAATAATTAAGTAGGTCAACAGTGCTGTGTCCATCAGGTTCGGCTACACAATCACATCTTGCCGTAAATACACATCCAATGTGAGCTTTTGTTCTAGCAAAAAATAAGATGGGATCCCATGCATGCGATCTCGAAGTGGACAGGTGACAGTGAGATATTTGACGGTGGATTTCCGCTCGCCTATTGCGCAACGGACTTCATTTGGCCAGTTGTACAGAGAAAGCAATTTGAAACAACAGGTCTGATTAATCTACGAGCTCCCAAACTCAAACTTTTAGAGAAAGAGTCTAACGTTAGTGATCAGCCTAGTACTTCGTACTTTGCTTGATGCCCTTAGGACATATTGCAGAGTGCAAGTTTGCTAAAAATTGAAGTAAAAATGCAACGATGGAGGCAAATAGCCGTGTTTCAATGAAATTCAAATGCAGGGCACGATTAACAGCAGGGAAATAGGAGGACCGATTTTGCACGAAAGTCATTTATCTTGGGTATAGTCATATTGGTAGTGAAAAGCCGGGACCGGCCTAACGTAACTTTCGGCGTCTGGATCATGACCAAGAGTCAGTTCTGACTGACACGATCTATCAGACGCAAACTTCAGCTGGCTGCCGAGAGGTGCAGCGAAGGACAAGGATACTGCGTTTGAAGGGAGTCGTATTCTGCTACGGCTTAAATGAAAACATGAAGAACCCTGCAGACATGCACAAGCGCTTCTTGCAGTATAACCTACCCTAAGAGGAATAAAGAACATCTTCTTGTTATAGGCAGCGACAATAACAGTAATCTCTTTTTGCAAGTGTGAGGACATGCAAGCCGCCTGATTTATGACGAGTGTTCTGGAAGCCACTTACGTCAAGTGGTGCAACTTAACGTGATACCGATCAGCACATTTCATATGTTTGAAGCTTTTATGCGCTAGATGCGTTCCAAGTATAGAAATGAAAACACGAAATGGATCTTGCGCCTCACTCACTAGCCTGTTTATTCGCGTACATCCGATGTTTCGAAATAGGTAATGTGAACAAAAGGGAAATCATTTGAAGCACTAGTAAGGTGTGTCACGGACAAGCGCTGCCGCTGCTGCTGCTGCTGTTGCTGCTAATGATGACGAGGCTGTTGTTGTTGTTGTTGTTGTTGTTGTTGTTGTTGTTGTTGTTGTTGTTGATGATGATGATGATGATGATGATGATGATGATGATGATGATGATGATGATGATGATGATGATGATGATGATGATGATGATGATGATGATGATGATGATGATGATGATGATGATGATGATGATGATGATGATGATGATGATGATGATGATGATGATGATGGTTAGGAAGAGTATAACGTCATTTTCTACCGAATAAGCAGAACGAATATATTTATGCATGTTTACTATGAAATATAATTGAGTGTTTAAGGGCTTCGAAAATCAATGAGAAAAATGCATGCTACGTAATTAGTCGTTTTTTGCAGAGTATAGTCTCTGCATGCAGTCGAAAAGGAGTTCGTTCGAGAGCCGGCTTCCTGAGGTCATTGAATTATTATAGGATTATGCTTCACGATGCTTAGTTTTACAACCTTGTTTAATTAATCTTTTTGCAACGAAAAGGTATTTCGGAATTTCGGTCGACATTTCATGAGTTAGCCCATCTACTCTATAAAAAGTAGTGTGCAAACAAAAATATCACAAATAGGAACTACAGTTCTGGCCCGGGTGAGAGGTAGTTATTATGTTCGCCATGCAACCTCTTACAGGACTAGTTAATCGTTTGAAGTTGCGCACGAATTGGTGTGAGTTTAATAGCCTGATATGTAACTTCCAAACGAAGATTATGACAACAAAAAAAATTTCATTGTTAGAAGTTGGTTTATACGATTAAATATGACAGTAAGCGTGAGGAAATAGCGAAGACTGGGTTGAGAGTGAGGGTTGGCCGTTCACGGGAGTGTCAAGGGGGGAAAAGGGGGTTCTCCAGTATGAGGGTTCCAATTTACGGCAACTCCACTTACTTACCGCGAAACAAACCGTCAAGTTACTTTCCGGGTGCCCACTGATGCCTCCTTCTAATTAATATGTACAATGCGTGACCGATCTCATGAGATGTTGGCCAAAATCCTGAAATGCGTTTCCGATTAGGAAGGATTACTTAAGTGGGGTTGTTTTACTGATTATCACGTAACATAACCCTATTATATTTCGAAATCGCCACGATGTCGGCTTTTGAATGCACTTCTTTTTGACCTCATGCAGAGGCCACATTTGGTGAAACATGATTACTTAATTAGCACGCATTTTTCCTATCGATTTTCGATGGTCTTATAAATTCTAATATATTTTATAGAGAACATGCACAAAAATACGCTTTCTTTCGCTCATTTGGTAGGAAATCACATTGTCTTCATATTTTATGCCCGAAAAAAGTGTATATTTAGGTTTTTAAAAAGTTTTTAATTATGAGATTTTTAAGACCGTGCGATGTCCATACACGCAAGACCGCACATGTCCGTTTGCTAATGTTCCTCATGAAATGTACAGCACAGTCTGGATCCATTGCAAAATTTTATGAAGTCTGTGTGGTATCTTCTTAAAGGCATGGAGGAATATATGACTTTTCTTACGCGGAAAGCATGCACCTTGTAGACTGAAATTGCTAAAAGCTGATGCAATGACAGATCAGGCTGGAAATTATTCGGCAATTGAGAAGCTTTTTCAAAACTTGAATATACACTTTCTTTGGGTATAAATGGGAAAAATGTGATTGTCTACCAACGAGTAGGTGAGAGCGTGCCCTCTAAACGGGCCACGTGTTAGATGCGCTGGACCAACACGGGGGCCACATCGGACTCTGGCAGGCGTTATCTGTGCGCAATAACAAATGCCAACATTTGCGGGGTGCGCTGGCGGACCCTGTTGTCGGCATTCGTCGATCAACTGGACAACTGCCGCCACCCCATTGTTTTGTGGTCAAAATCCTGGTCTTGGTGTGTGGACCAGGGGTGCGGAGTGGAGCGCCAAGGCGAAGACCCGTCCGAGCCATCCACCTGCGGCCTCCCTCGTCTCCGGTCTTCTTGACTCTGTCTTGACACCGGGCCCAGGCGGGGGAGGAGGAGAGAGTGTAGGTAGATGCAGCAAGTCTACCCGCACTATAAACCCCTGCGCAAGTCACCGTCCCTACTCCCACCGCTGCTGCAGCTGTGGGGTACACGGTGGACATCGTCGAAATCGACGGTCGAACTGTCAGGTGAGAGCACATTTTTGTGCATGCCTTCTGCAAAGTATATTCTAATTTACAGGACCATCGAAAATCAATAGGAAAGTGCATGCTACTTAAATAGTCATTTTTGACCCAGTGTAGTTTCTGCAGGAGGTCAAAAAGAAGTGCATCCAAAAGTCGACATCCTGCCGACTCCGAAACGTTATAGGGTTATTCTGCATGATAATCAGTATAACAACCCCACTTAAGTAATCCATCCTAATCGGAAACGCATTTCAGAATTTTAGCCAGCATTTCATGAGATCGGTCTCGCACTGTATGTTTTAAAATCACGTTAGCGCATTTGTCGCTTAATTTGAACTATAAAAAGCACTTCTTTCACCTACTATTCACTTTGGCCTCTGTGATTCCACCCCAGTGCACTTCATGAGACACTTTAGGCGAAAATTTGGTATACTCATGGGATGTAGAATAGCTTACACCACTACTCGGATTGCATCAAAACAGACTTTGTCTCGTACGCAGACGCTCACACTGGAACATGGAATAAATTTACGGGTTCTTCATGCCAGATCAAAGTTGTTACGGGTTTGCGTAGGTAAGAGATTAACCGCATTTCTGGCCTCTGGGTTACTCTTTTGTCTTACTTTGGACATTCTCAAGGGCATTCATACAGTTGACTTCAACGGCAGGCAAAAGTACAATTCACATTCCGAATGGAATTCTGGAAAAGCCATGGTTAACTGATAAGACCGCGTTTAATGCACTGTGTGGTCTCGATAAACCCCACGGGCCTTCGTTAAACAGGCTCGGAGAGATTATATTTATGGTCCTGAAGCGTGCGAGGTGAATAATAACCTCAAACAGGGTACAGTAGGCGGTATTTTCTCGAAACGCACTATAATTTGATCCCTTTACTAAAGGTCTGGTCTGTTGACCAGACTGACCTGACTCTGTGCTAGCGAGGATTTTTATGGTCAGCATCACTGTCAAACTTGATTTACTTCAACGATTATTCATTGAAACAGATCTCTAAGAAGGTAAGTAACATCGGAGGTCCATCGACAAGCAAGCAGGCTTGTGAGACGACCTCAATGTAGGCCGCGTAGAGTAACGGAGTATAGCTTTTGTGTCCCGTCTTTTGATTTGACAAATATCTTCCACAACAGCCTTAAACCAGTCCGACTAGATGAATGTCCTTACTCTAAAACAATAACTGTTTATCCTCATTGAGGGACTTCTAAAGCAGAGGCAATTCAGAATCAAACAGACAATCTGTGATTTCATTTGACCCAATTGCGGAAGACTTGAGAACCTCGGTGGGATTTGAATCCATGAAAACAAGGACAAGACCTGAGCACCGTCAGAGCTCTAACTGCCCGAGTTATGAGGGCTCACCGGGAGACGTGAATTCTATCACATATGGGTCAAGTTACCCACCCAGTCTACTACAACGTATGAAATGCACCAAATCTGATACAGTATGCTGACTGCCCAAGCAGGATTTTCTAAGGAATCCACCTAGAGTCCACCAGATGACTGCCAGACTCACGTAATAAATTGGTTTTGTCAAACACTAATTAATCTCTACGATGTCAGAGAAATGAACTGGGCGTGGAACTCCGGTGCTTTCAATCGGAGTGTCACGTCCGCAGAAACGCAGACAGGAGGGTAATTATGTTATCTATTGGCAGAAAGTGGAGGAAGAGTGCTTTGAGAATTGCGGAATCAGGGCTAGCTTGTACTGCCAGCGAGATCTACCAGCGTTTTGGTTAGCAGTCCTCTCAAGGATTCGAGGAAGAATGGGCTTTGGGTCTAACTGACAAAGATAAGCCTCTGAGAGGAATCCGGTCTTCCATGAACTGACACAATATGTGAGGACTGGACCTCCTGAAAATCATCCAAGATCGATTTTTTTACGTGCGACGGTCTTATTGGTCTGCCTTAAATCTCGCTAGGCGTTTACCTTCTATCATGCTAGCTTTTCCTTCCATAACTGGGCCGGCGGATCTGCAGTCAGCTATTTTGGAGGGTTGTATTCACTGTTTTGCTGAACTGCCATGAATGCTAGCATAACCATCTACAAGGTCTCATCAGTCCTGCCGTTTACAACGGTTAAGAAATAATCTGAGAAACGCCTACTACCAAACGTTCTTCTCATTGCATGTGACGTTTTGTTCTCGATTGAAGGAAAAATTTGCTTCAGGGGGGAGTCACCGTTCAAGGGCCAAAACGATGGGGGTCATCGTATGCTACCGATGACCGCTTCCGAAAGTCAACCAAGCCTGCATCGTGGGCTAAAGGAAGTTATGAGTAGTTCAGGTAAGATCGCAGTTGGTAGCTAGACATTATACGGTGATACTGTCGACGTACGTACTTGTAATCAGTAGGTGTGCTTACCTTGTCTAGGGAACTTGTTATCAGTAGGTGTGCTCTTACTGATTTAGGCAGGTCGTCCGTTTCGGTCAGGCTGATGGGTTTAGTGAGGGTTAGGGTTAGGCGCGGGTTAAGTTTTAGGATTAGGGTTTGCGTTTTAGGGCCAGGCTTCAGTGTTAGGGTTAGGGTTCCTGTTAGGGTTACGGTTAAGGTTAGGCTTTAGGTTAGGGTTAGGTTTAAGGCTAGGGTTCAGATTAGGGTTAGGGCAAAGGTTAGGGTTATAACTAGGTTTTGAGTTAGCATTGGGTTTTAGGATTTTGGTTACGTTTCGGTTTTGAGGCTTAGGGTTAGGCTTTACGATAGCGGCCAGAAATGGATTTTAGAGCTAAGCGTAGGGTTATGGCTAGGTTTTGAGTTAGCATTGGGTTTTAGAATTTTGGTTAAGTTTCTGTTTTGAGGCTTAGGGTTAGGCTTTACGATAGCGGTCAGAGTTGGATTTTAGGGCTAAGCGTAGGGTTTAAATTTCTGCCATTATTCCACCAACTTTAAACTTCCCGGCACTTTCCTTGGTAACTTTACTTTTACCCAGAAACTCCAGCATTCTTCTACCAGCCCTTCATTTACCCCACCCATATAACCCCCTTTCCCACTATTCCGTACGATAGGGACCTGGCTGTCCGCCTCCCCATTCCTGGCTACCAACTGCGGTCTAACCGTATTTCGACCTCTGACAGTACCTTAA